GTGGCCCTGGAGCACTGTGTAGTCACTGGTGGCACAGAAGTACACAGATGTCTGGGAGCGGGTGGTGGACTCCAGAGTGAGGGGGAAGTCCTCTGTGTTTGATCTGGAGACACTGTACCCGTCAGACACGTCTCCTTTGGCAGTGTTGCCAACAGTATATGAGTAATGGATCAGCTGCAGCCCTTGCCCTTGGTCTTGTCGATACCAATACATGTAGTCATAGTTGTAGGTCTGGTGGCATCTCAAAGTCACCTTTTCTCCTGTCTCTGTGATGACATGTCTTGGGCTCTGGGTGATTCCAGCCTCCATGTGTCCTGTGGTAGAGAAAGAGAAGTTTATGTCACCTCAAGAGATACTTGGATTGAAGTCTTGGAATTTCAGAGAAGGAAGCCCCCCATGGCCAGCACTCACCTGCCCACAGGAGACAGCAGGCCACACAGACAAAGAGCTTGATTCTCATTGTAGGAATGAGGGACGGTCCCATGTCTTCTGAGTCTGTTTTGGGGAAATAGAACTTTTGCCATTAGCAGCCGAGTGATGACTTGTCCCCTACAAATACATGAGCTGTGCAAATAACTTACCACAACCCTTCCCTAAGGGAAAAGTCAACTTTCAATTACATATATATGTATATATAATATTGTGAAAGATGGTAATATTTTATGCTACATATGCACAATTCATCATCTCTGAATGGAAAGAATTTGTAGTTTGCTTTAAACTATAAGTGTGAATCATCCTTCCTGAACTTTAGGAAGAATATTTGGTCCTCCATGCAGCTTTTATTCCTATAAGTATATAGTTTCTCATTTGTGTGTAACTAACTTTTCCCAATATTTCTTCAATATAAGGAACATCTGCATGGCAGTGGTGGTGCCTTCTGTAACTTCTCTGCTCAAACATCATCTCCAAGTTCCTTACACTAGTTCTTCCATTTGCCTAAACTCTGGGAATTAGATGTCAGTATGCCAGGCTATTCTTGACTACAAGAATCATTGACCACCAGAAAGTTTTAAGAGCATCAAGATCAAGGTCACTTCTACTTGAAAAACTTTTTTAACTAGTCTCACAAAAGGTCAGGAACAGGAGTCCTTCTATATATTTGGAAGCCTTAGTGCAAAACTATGGATATGAATTCTTTGTTTTAGGTGAGACCTTGGAATCCTGGCCACTTAGGTCCCCATGACAATATTTCTATTCAAGACAAGAGATGGATCATTAGTGATGTGGATGAGATATCTGCTTGTGACCTGTGCCTCCACTGTCAGAGGGAAATGTTCTGTCCTCGTTCATATGATCTCATATCCACCAAATAGTAAAAGATTCATTCAGTCATGAATCTGCTATCATGCAATAGCAGTGAATGCTGTTCTTTCCCACAGAGGCCATATCTCACTGTGAGGCCTTTTTCCGTGTCTCCACACATTGATGGACTCTTAATGGATACTCCCTACAATCAGGCCTAGTGAACAGGGTGCAGAAACACAGAGACAACAGGAGGAAATCAGTGTAGCACTCACAGGGGTGGCTATGGCAGGGGCGTGGGCACCCAGGACGGGCTCTCCTATCTGTGGCCACAGATTGGCTAGTCCCAAGATTCACCAACAGAGGACACTTTGAATTAACTACCTCTAAGGATCATCTCGAAAGTAAAGTCTGAATTACTAACAATACTCAAACTTCCTTGGGGAGATGAGCATCCCCTGGGGATATCTCCTTTTAATTGACTTAGTAATTAATTATAGGGTCACAAGTTTTCTGTTGTTGGACATGTACACTTGAGCTTGAAGCTATGACAGGACAACAACCCGTCCATTGGTTTCAAGTGTCCTCAGTGTTGAAAGGCAATAAGCTACATAACTCTATCCCATAATGTGCCTTCCCCCTGCTGCCCAGATGGTCTTGAATGCAAGAGGCTCTGCTCTGATACACATTCTTGTCCAATATCAGGCAGCAATCATGGATTTCAGCAGAACTTCTGATTTAGGAGATGTAGGTTTCCATTCTCTCTTTGATACTAGTAAATATGAAATATAGGGAGAGTCCATGAGCTACATGCAACTTCCTCTTGATAAAGTGATATACTGTAATCATCTATAAAGCGGATACGAGTGTTATCATAAATACCCACACTCTAGCAATGAGTACGGGTTCCCACCGCTTGCTGGGAATTGAAAAGTGTCGGCTTAGATAAAAGAACACCCGGAAGGGCTGGGGTCTGAATGACAAGGAGCAATCTGGCTGAGCCTAGCAGGGCAGACTGAGGGTTAACAAAGAGCTAAAAGCATCCAGGGGCCTTGACTGAGTCTATGTGGTAACCTCCACCTCCTCTCCCTAGAACACCCTCAGCTGGGACAGGAAGGTTAGGGTACAGAAAGCCAGTGGCTCTGCAGGGCTGTACAAGCTGCTGGCACACAGATACATGGCTGAGTCCCCCAGCTCCAAGGAGTTCATGTTCAGCTCAGAGTGATAGTCATCAAACTGCTGAGCTGAAAATCGATCAGGGAGGTTTCCTTTGTCTCTCTGCAGTTTATCAAAATA